TGTGTGTGTGTGTGTGTGTGTGTGTGTGTGTGTGTGTGTGTGTGTGTAGCCATTTCATGGAGGTGTTGGCAAAGGATACATGGAATACTGCTTAGAAAATATCACTTAAAACCCAAAATCCCAGTGAGCTTTTATGCTATGTGTACACTATTCACACAGAGGGAATTCCTGGAACTTTCAGTGGAAAAAATTACGTTTAATGAGACTCTTGCTATAAAAAATCCCTTCAACACTACTTTTTATACTTGAATTTAAATAATGTCATATGGTGAACATCGTGGTTGGAAGCAGAAGGCTTCCTTGGAACAGGGAATGCCTGAAACCAAAGACTTTTGTAACTGTCCCCAACGCTAACTTACCTACTAGTCTGCACTCACACATGGGGCTGGTCTGGAAACGCCTCCATGAAGTGACTGCAGGGCAAGGGCCTTATTCCCTCAACCGCCCGTGAGAAGAAAGTTTGCCGGAAGGTGGTGGGTACAGACAGAGGGCAGAAGTGTGAGAAGAGCCCAGATGTCATCAGACCGACAGCTGCCACCTGACACCCAGGGAAGTGAAGGTCATGGCAGAAAACCCAAGAACCACACACTAGGAGCCTGGCAAGTGATGCCACCCCTTCTGGATCCTGAACTTGGGGAGGAAAAATAGACCCCAAGAATAAAAGGGTGGCAGTGACTCCTCTGAGTTTCTCAGAGTCTCAGTGGCCAAAATGAATACACTGTGGCTTGAGATGGAAAGAGAACAAGGAATCACATCCAAGCATTTGAAGAACCTTGAATTAATCCTACTATCTGAGCAGGCGAAACCTTTGCAAAGCATCCCTTACGGTTCTCCTCTTGGGAGCTGTGGTCTTGGGATGTGGTGGCGGAGCGCGGAGGCAGAATAGAGGCTTCACAGCCTTTGGCGTGCCCTCACCTCGAGCCCCCCCCCCCCCCGTTGCCTCACCCCCCTGCGTCTTGGGTGGAATAGTGGTTAAAGACGTGCTCTGGCATCAGATAGCCCAGGTCCAATGCTGCCTTTGCAAATGCTGGGAGCAAAGGCGAGTTATAAACAAAGGGTAATAACACCTGCCTTTCTAGGTTGTGGGGTAGATAATTATGTGCCTTGCAGATGGAAGCTCTCACTAAAGGGTAGGACTTATAATGCGACATGGATCATAAAGTATGATCTAGAACTTAATCCTCATGTGCGACGTGGCCTCCACCCTCTTCTTGGCTGAGGAATACTGGCCAGGTCACAAGAACTCCAAGTTCTGACCACACACATGGATGTGTGCTAACTCTCGGCTATACCCTGAACTGTGGATATACGATCATTTCTGGGACCTCACTGTTAAACCCAGACCCTGCTTCCTGTGGTTCTATGTATCCACAGATACATACAAACTTAAAGGCTTAACTGAGCCTTTTTAAGTTTGGGGTAAGTGGGTAAACTATCACACTCTTAACAGGTAGAATAGGCTACTGAAATCACACTTTAAAAATCAAACTATAAGTCCAAATGGAATCTGGATAATGGCAAATGTCATCTATAGGAGCAAGCACCCCATTTCTATAGACAGTGTGTTTTGATGACGACATTCTCAAATTCTCACTCATCCCTGAGTTTGGGAAGCAGCGGTGTTTCCTTAAAGATGTGCACTCTCAGTGTTTGCTCCTGAATCACTTGAAGTTGACCCATCACCCGGCTGGTTGTGAGGGGGCTGGGGTCCTACAAGCCATTTAGAGGCGGAAATCCCAGACGGGGAAGGCGTTTCTTGCTACTGGTGGTGAGAATCCACCCAGACATTCTTTGCATGCTGGTATCAGGTTCTATTCAATACTGTCTCAGAGCAGAACCCTCTTGGGATGGAGTCATAGAACCAGTAACAGTACCATCAATAGGAAGGGGAAGGCAGAAGGCATCAGGGTCAAAGAAAAGTTCACTTTTAAGCTTTATGAATGTGAACCAAAAAATGAGTTACCAACGTACATATGTCTGGCACTTGGGGAAGCAGAACGAATGCTTAATAGAGTATCCAGGCTAAAAAAAAAAGAGAGACTGGGAAGGGTCCCAGGTACCTAAGGGCTGAAATCTTAAGCAATGGCAGAGATCTTGTGGGAGAGAGCCTAGGAGGTAAGCTCCCGGATGGCTGATCAAAAGCTGTCCAAATGCATATACCCTTTGATGCGTGGATTACAGTTTTGGAAATGTATCCTGAGGAAATAATCAGAAATGCATACAGTTATCAATACGATGCATGTGTGGAGGCAGGGGCCACATGGGAAGAAACCTCTGGACCTTCCCCTCAATTTGGCTGTGAACCTAAAAGTGCTCTAAAACATTGTCTTCTAAAAAAACACAACACTGCCTTTCCACGTCTACATTTAAGAATAAACATCATTGGGCATTTATCCAACAAAAAAAGCACTATTCAAACGCATAGATACACTATAATTCTAACCTGGAAGATATGTCTGTGTGTCTTTAAGTTGGGTGGTATCTACCTAAGTATGATTATTAAAAAGACTGAAATACTCTAACATTAATAGTCATTTCTGTCTAATTGAACTTAGGTGATTTTTATCTTTACTGCATTTTTCAAATTCTCTCAATAAATATCTATTACTTTCATAACCCCCCAAAAATATATCTTTTCTAAAAAATAACATAAACAACAAAGTCCTACTGTATAGCACAGGAAACTATATTCAGTATCTTGTAATAAACCATAATGGAAAAGAATATACATATATATATGTATAACTGAATCACTTTGCTGTACACCAGAAACTAACACAACATTGTAAATCAACTATACTTCAATAAAAAATAAAATAAAATGTATCTTTTCTAAATACCATAAATATCTGATACTATAACTCCTTACTGTGTCTTTACATAACATCATTTTTTGTTTCTATACATTAAACGCACATTTGCAATGAGGTTTCTTGTTATTGAAGGGTTTGCCCCATATTTACCGTCAGCAACTCTTTTTCCACTTCATCATGAACTAGATCGATTCCCATTCTCTTCTCTCGATGAAACAGACATTCCCGGGCTACCTACAGATACACAAATAATGAAAAACACTAATACAACCTGACTAAAATCAGTGACTAGCACTTCTAATAACCTGTTTCTAAAACAAGGCAATAGATGCTCCCAATACCAACTTTTCAAGGCATTTTCCTGGAAATCAAACAAGAAACTCAGTGTGACAACGAAGTGAATCCCTGCTGCTAGTGAAAAGGTAAAGAGTTTGAAAAAAATTCCTAATTTGGAAAGTTGACAAACTGAAGCAGATGGCATCTACTTAATCCCCACAAATCAGCATCTGAGAAAACTATGTGACATCAATTCCTTCTAGAGAAACAGTTCAATAACCCAAATCATAGTCTTCAAGATCTTATTTCCAAATGTTTTCTACTGAGAAGAGTGAAGAAGAAACAAATGATTACTTAAAGACCTCAAAATATTTGTGTGGCCGAAAATCCAGGTGATTACTGTTAAAGTACCATTTATTGTTTTCCTAATTATAAAAGTAATATGCGGGGCTCCCCTGGTGGCGCAGTGGTTGAGCGTCCGCCTGCCGATGCAGGGGACACGGGTTCGTGCTCCGGTCCGGGAGGATCCCACATGCCGCGGAGCGGCCGGGCCCGTGAGCCATGGCCGCTGAGCCTGCGCGCCCGGAGCCTGTGCTCCGCAACGGGAGAGGCCACAGCAGTGAGAGGCCCGCGTACCACAAATAATAATAATAATAATAATAATATGCTTTATCCATTAAAGAGAAAAAGTAGAGAGAAGTCAAAAATGAGTTATCCATACTCCTATCAGTTTTGTTTGTTTTAAACAGAAGTTACAGTGCCCTCATAATTTTATTCTTTTTAGGATTGATGTTAAATAGTAGACTTGAAATAGTCTATGAGACAAAGTACATTAATGACTCCAATGGAAAGCAGCTTAGATAGCCGACAACTAAATTATGCATGAAATAACATTATGTAAATGTTAAAATACTTTTTTCAAAGAGTAAGTATTTCATGACATGGGATGACTATAATGTTAAATGTTTAAAAAGCATAAAATATAATAGTATGTACACTGTAATCTGGATATGATGTCATTGAACAAAATCTTGGAGTGAATCTCTAATTTTTTAATAGTCTAATGTACACTGACTAGAAGATGAATTAAGGGGTTGAAGGGAACTCTGATTATTTTAATGTGTATTACGAAATTGCTTTCCAGGAAGTTTCTACTCATCCATAGTCTACTAGCAATATCTGAAGTGTCCGTCTTCTGCACTTTTGCCAACCCTACACATTATCGGTTTTCATTTTTGCAAATTTGGTAAGCCAAAGACGGTTACTTCATTGACTTAGTTTGCATTTTTTGTTATTGAGTTTTAATATTTTTGTCTTATATACAGTTGATCATCAGTATTTCCTCTTTTGAGCTGTATCTGTTCATGGGACTAATTCTCATTTTAATTGGGATCTTCTGATACCGTGTTGATTGTAAATGTTTAAACACACAAGATATCTGGACAAAAACTGCAGAAAAGTATTTAAATTATGCCCATCTCATTGAAAGCAGTCATCACTGAAAGGAGTGTCAAGGGAAGAAACTGAATCTCCTCTGGAAATTAAGTAAAAGGTAAGTGGCTGTCATTTTAAGTGTTCATTAAAGTAAGTGGTGGGTGGGGTGGGATGGGATGTATTGTAGAATAGACCAGGAATCCTCAAAATGATCCAGAGCTCAGAGAAAGTATGGAAGGGCTTCTGATCCCATGGTGAGTTCTTTTAAAAGAATATCATTAGTGTCCTGTCGACCTTTCTCAGGATTTCTGTGGTCGTGTGTATTTGTGTGCACTCGTGTTTAGTGGGGAGGAGGGGTGCAGTAAGAAGCTACGGTGTGCAGGGGTCTCCAGCAAACCCCCCAAACAACTAGACTTCTAGCTCTTCGATTCTCTAATCTCACACAAACATGGAGAAAAAGAGTGTTCGCTTTGCCCATTCACATATACACAACTTCTAAAATAATCTGCATCATTTGGACATCTTCACATACAGAACGTCTTCTTCCAACAGTGGTGGATAGAATGGGGTCAGGGGGCCCATCGCACACTCAGAGGATTAAAGGTAATTTGATCTCCATTCAGAAGCCTGGTCAGAGGCCAGCAACCAACTGAAAGGCTGCCTCTAGGACCAAAACTGGCTTAACTTCTATCCCATTTCTCTATTTAACCAAACTCATTCCATTCCCAAGAAGCTCTAATCTGATGATTTCACCGTGCCTGAAGTGGAATCATAACATACATGCAGAAGGCATTTCATGACACAGACTAAAAGAACAGTTTTTTTCCTCTCAAACAACGTTTATGTGAATCCAGGGACAGCAGTAACCAAGCAGCCTATTTAAGAGATGGGAAGATGGCATTTTCACCATAAAATACTGTGCGTCTTAAGAGCGTCGCTTTAATTAGCCTCCTTTGCTTTGCATGCAGAATTCTCTCTACTTTTTTTTCTTTCTTGGCCGTACCACTGGGCTTGCGGGATCTTAGTTCCCCAACCAGGGATTGAACCTGCGTCCTCAGCAGTGAAAGCACTGAGTCCTAACCGCTGGACCGCCAGGGGATTCCAGAATTCTTTCTACTTAAATGGTTGTTCGGTATAATGTGAGAAAAATGGCAATGGTTTTATCGTCACTGAAACCCGGTACAGATTTATTGACAAGGGCTTGGCTTCTACAGGGGAAGCGAAATATAATTCAATAGATAAATAACCTCAAAATTTCAACGACAGGGTTATAATCATAAAAATGCACTGTCCTTTTAATAAGGTCTTATAGTTACCTGAAGAGGGGCTTCTGTCTCCATCAAAGCCCTCTCCAGTTTTTTCTTAACATCGGTGAGTTCATTTGTCTCTCCAATCATTGCATCCAACTCATGAATGATTTCAGATTTCCAAAATCCTATGTCGTTGACTCGTTCTCCCAGATTGTGGGTGGAGTCTGCCTGGGTTTTTCTCGTTTGTTGATATTTGTCTTGAATCAAGCGAGATGTATCTACCCTTAGTCTCTCTGAATTGTGTCGGGAGGTGTTGGATTCTTGAAAGTTGGCTAAGTTGGACCTGTACCAATCATCTGGGGTATATCTGGTGAAGAGTGTGGTTCTGTTGGAAACACAGGGAAGCGTGGTGCTCTCGGACACCCTCTGAGATCTGGTGCAGCACGGGTCCAAGGCTGGCGCGTTGGAGGCTGCTTTGTAGTACGTGCTTGGTCTCCAAGGCAGGCTCAGACTGTGGGTCAGATTGCATTGCGGGAAGCAGTTCCTATAGCTTGAGGCCATGGCACTGATGGCTGGTAGGAAGTTGGCTGGTGTTGGTCTAGGGTGGGCATAAGGTGCCGCCAAAGTAGAACCTAGAAGCTCCATGATGCTCAAGCACTATTTGTAAATCTCTCCTGCTTAAAAGGGGGGGGAAAGGGGGGGAAGCAAAAATAGACAGTCACATAAATAACCTTCGGTGAAAACTCACAGATAAAAGGGTCCATCTGACTTACTATAAGCAGCAGTGCTGTCTAACACATTAGATATTTGTTTTAATTGGATAACCACCTTTACTTGTGATAACATATTCTGCATTTATTTTTCATCTCTGTCTCTGGATTGTATTCAAATTACATTTTTGTAGATTGGCACTTTGAAGTTTTGAAATATTTTTTAAATCATGAGAAGTAACACCGTCTCATAACAGATTCAAATGAAGAGCCTGAACTATGCTTTCTAACAGATTGGGATTCAGATCTTGGCTCTGCTATTTACTAGCTGTGAGACCTGGTGCAAATGACTTAAGCTCTCTGCCCTCATCTCTAAGTTGGGAATAATAATAGTAATTGCTACTTTGGTTTGTTATAAGCAGTATTAGCCGCAAGGGGTTGCTGAGCGGCGCCCACCCCCCACCCCCCAGTCTTCCTAAATAAACACACGATCAGAGTAACACCGGTGTGGCAGGTAAGCCAACGTAACTCAAGGAAGTACCTAGATCCCCTTTTCCTGGCAACTTCCCACCTCTAAGCAACTCCGGTATAGACAGACATGCTATGGCAGCCCCTGAGCATTAAGTAAGATGATGCTAAGTATTTGGAATACTCAGCACAGTTCTGGGCACATAGTTAGTGCTCAATAAATGTTAGCTTTTAAAATTACTAGCTCAGAGGTGTATACAAAGTAAAAGATAAATATCCACTCTCCCCCCTTCAAAATAAACTCCTCAGAAGTAGACACTGTGAATAATTCATTACTAGTTGTATCTTTCCAGATTTTTCCTTTTCATATACCAACATATATATTATTTTTAAATCTATATACATCTCCCTATATACATATGCACAGAGTTTTTTTAATACAAAAATTGAATTATCTTAATCATTATATGTATCATTCCAGAACATGCATTTTTGAAAATATATGTATTTTGGACCTCTCCCCCTGTTAAAACATAGAGAGCCACTTTATCCTTTTTTACCAGCTGAAAATATTCTATTGTCCAGAATTTGGGGTCATTGTTAGTCCAGAAAGCCAAGGATGCCATAGACTATGACATACTTTTCAGCATCTGAACGTCATTCTGTTTGGGGGTTAATGTCTATAGACGCATTTACTGAAAAGGAAAAATAATATCAGATCCAATTCTGTAGGCTCCTACTCAGAAAAAACAAACAAACAAAAACACATTCAGAGTCCGCCTGCCGATGCAGGGGACACGGGTTCGTGTCCCGGTCCGGGAAGATCCCACGTGCCGCGGAGCGGCTGGGCCCGTGAGCCATGGCCACTGAGCCTGCGCGTCCGGAGCCTGTGCTCCACAACGGGGGAGGCCACAGCAGTGAGAGGCCCGGGTACCGCAAAAAAAAAAAAAAAAACACATTCAATGATTCTTTAAATAGCTGTTTTGACGCCATTGGTACCCAAACCACAAAATAATCTATTTGTAGAATTGTGGCCGAATTAAAATCCACTCGGACTCCATGTGATGAAACAGCTACCCACTGCCACTGGTGGTATCCCACCTGACCCTAGCTCCCTGATGTTTTCCTTATTCTTCCCTCCCTCAGCCCCCAAACACTTTATATGGGCCAAGCTTAGAGTACGATGGTAAAAACGAAAGCCTTAATAACCACTTGCCATTCCACACCTAAGTCTGAAACTTAAAACATTGCTTTTTGAAAAAGCAAATTCCAAGTAACTTGAGCCACGAGGGTCCTCCTGGCTACTTTTAGTTTCAACCCCTTCCCCAAGTCACATCTAGAAATAATCCCATCAGTTTTCTTTGAGCAAGAAGCTTCGAGTGGGATTGGACCACTCTTGCTTGGCTTTTCTTAATTCCTGACAACAATGAATCTAAAAGCTAATGTCACACTTGGTCCTTCAATCACGGAATTCCAGGTGTAGAATTCCCACATGTATTTACTCGACACCTATGATGCTGAAATCTTGAGGCAGCTCAATCCATGTCTGTCAAATATCAAACCACGAGTGTTCAGGTTTAACACATGTGTGAAATGCAGGGGTCCACAAGCCAGAGGAGACATATGACTTGAGAAAATCAATATGGTTTGTAAAAGCATCCAGTGATAATTTTTAATTAGAGATGGGATATAATTTAGAATCTGGAATCTGAAGCATAAAGTCAGTTGTTTAAAAAATTCCCAGATGTAGAGCTCCTCATATATGGCAGTAAGTTTCACATGAGAGACAATATTCCATTGCCATTCCATATTCCAATATTCCATGTTCCAGCTCCAGTAGGCCCCCTTCTAAGTCATTTAGGAAGACCCAATAAAAGACAACAGCCTGGCAATGTCTTTTTTTCTTTTTTTTTCTTTTGGTCATTATTGGCCAAGAAAATTGAGAATCTCATGGCCTAAGAAATATTTAACTCAAAATAGATTTCTGCCTTCAACCAGGATAGAGTAATAAAAACTAGACTTAGCCTCTCTCACCTAAAAATCTAGACAAAATATCTGAAACAACTGTTTTCAGGCTGCACAGGACTCTGATCTGTGAGAGAAGAGAAACAAATAAGGTGAGCCCTCTGACCACCTGGAGGCAATTTCCAGACTATGGGGAAAATGGATGGAAACCAAACAGAGCCTGGCAGCATCTGTGAGTTGAGGAGGAGGCCAGAATCTGGGGAGGCTGAGACACCTGGAAGTTGGGACGTGGGATTCTGGAGTAAAATGAGTTATGCAGACAAAGCGCTCCATAAATCTATGTAGGGGTCCACTTGGGTCTTTGCTGAGTAATAGGTTATACATACATCAAGGAATGTTCCACAAACCTTGGCAAATAATGATGGCAGTGTTGTTAGCTGCACAATTCCTAGAGCTCACAGAGGGCCCAGAGACATTTTGAACCCAGACCAGTCAGAGTGGAGAGTTGTTAGTGGTCACCTAGAGCATTTGATGGAAAGCCCAGAGAGGTCACGCATTAGAATGGGGCCGACCTATCTTTAGAACGAAGGTACTAAAGACTCTGGGAAAGCTTGAATACAGGCCTCAAAAAGCTCAAACTAATCCACAAGTAAGTGCCTGCCAACGTCAGGAGCTCAAATATAGAGCACCACAGTGTCCAGCATCCAATCAAAAACTTCCAGACATGCCAAGAAGTAGAAACGTGTGGCCCGTAATTAGGAGAAAAATCAGTCAATAGAAAGAGGTATACAAATGGCGGAGATGTGACGGCACTAGAAAACCACGCACAAGCATTTAAAGGAAAACAAGAACATAATGAAGAGAGATGTGGAAGACTTAAAAAAGAACAAAATGAATCTTTAGGGATAAAACATATAATATATCCTTGCACAATTTCACTAGATTGGAGTAACTGCAGATTAGACACCAGAGAAGCAAAGATTAGTGAGCTCGAATCTAACCAAACCAAAGCACAGACTTTTTAATTCACTGGAAACAAAAAATGAAAAGAGCCTCAGTAACTTACGGTATAATATCAAGTGGTCTAACATCAAGCACTTGGGGTGTCACGTTAAGACGAGAGGGAGACAAAATATCTGAAGAAACAATGGCTGCAAATTTCCCACATTTGATGAAAAGTACAAACCCCTATGTCTAAGAAGCTCCACACACTCCAGGAGGATAAGCACACATCCATGTGTGTGTGCACACACCACTACCTCAAGGCTCATCATAATAAAATGGATGAAAGTTCACAATAAAGAGAAAAAATTAAAATCAGAGGAAAAAAGACACAATAGATAGAAAGGAACAAAGATAAGAATCAGTGAAGAATTCTTGTCAGAAACTATGCAAGCCAGAAGACAATCAAACAACATCTTTAAAGGGCTGGAAGAAAGTGTAATCCTAGAATTCTATTTCCAGTGAAAATATCCTTCAAAGATGAAGGTGAAATAAAAGGTTTTTTTATATATATATATATATATATATATATATAAAAGCAAAAGCCAAGAGAATTCAGCTGCAGCAGAACTGCACTAAAAGGGCTGTGAAAGGAAATTCTTCAGGCAAAAGGACATTATACCAGATGGAAACTTGGAGCTACACAAAGAAATGAAGTCTCAGAAATGGTAAGTATGTGTGCTAATAGCAAAAAAAAAAAAACTTTTCTAACTTTTAAATTTCTTTAAAAGATGGCTGCTTAAAGTAAAAATAATAAAAATTCATTGGGAGGTTTATAATAAAAACAAAAGTAAGTTATATGGTAATAACAGCACCAATGATGGGAGAGCAGAAATGGAAAAGTACTATTGTAAAGGCCTTATGACTAAAATGGAATAATGTTATTTAAGCATATACTACAGTAAGTCAAAAATGCATACTGTAAACCGTAGAGCAGCAGTTCTCAAAATGTGACCCAAAACCATGGGCTTGCCTAAGACCTTCTCTGGAGTGACAAGGTCAAGGTTATTTTTATAGTAAACACCCAGATGTGATTGGCCTTTTTCACTCTCGTTCTCTCAGAAATGTACAATAGAGGTTTCCAGAGGTGACATGATATGCGATATCACAACAGACTGAATGCAGAAGTAGATATGAGAACCCACCGACTAACAAAAATTTTAAAACTTTACCAAAAATGTGAAACAGTGCCACTCTTCTAACTAAATTTGTTTCAGAAAACATAGTTTTTTAATGAAAAGTATTGTTTATGTTACTATATAATAGGTTGTTATGGTTACTTTTAAGAGTTAATATTTTTAATTTCTCTATTTTAATTTCTGATATAATAAATATCAGTAGCTGTAATCTACATAAACTAAAGCTCTACAGAGTATCCTCTCTGACCACATCAGAGTTAAATTAGAAATCAATAATAGAAAGGTGTTCGGAAAATCCTCAAATACTAGGAAGCTAAACAACACACTTCTAAACATCCTATGGGTCAATGAAGAAATAACACAGGAAATTAGAAAATATCTTGAACTGAATGAGAATAAAAAACAGAACGTATCAAAATTGTGAAATTCAGCTAAGAGTGTTTAGAATGAGGTTTATAGCTTTAAACGCTTATATAAGAAAATAAGAATGAGCTAAAATCAATGATATATACTTTCATCTTAATGGCTAGGAAAAAAAAAAAAAAGCAAAGTAAACCCAAAGTAGAAAGAAGGAAATAATAAAAAGTCAATGAAGTAGAAAATGAACAAATTTTTGAAAAGCAATGAAATCTTAACAATAAAATTGATAAACCTCTTGCAAGACTGATCAAGATTTAAAAAAGAGAAGACAAATGACTACTATCAGAAGTGAAAGAGGGAATACTACTAAAGCCCCTGCAAATGTTAGAAAGTTAATAACGTATGATTACTAACAACCTATGCCAAGGAATTTGACAACAGAGAGGAAATGGACAAAATTCTTTAAAGATACAAACAAAACTGCCTAAGAAGAAAAAGGTAACCTGAACAGCTGTATAGGAATTAAAGAAATTGAATCTATAGTTTAAAATCTTTCTTCAAAGAAAACATCAGGTCCAGATGGGTTCACTGATAAATTCTACCAAAGTTTTAAGGAAGAAATAGTATAGCTTTTAAAAGCCTATCGCTTACTTGCGTGAGGTGCCTTTCACAATGTTTAAATTATTCTCTAAATTCTAACTCAGCCTCTTCCTAAAGAGGCAATGAGCACACACTATGATCCTTAACTGATGCTATAAATATCTCACATTTGCAAGTAAACTAAACAAATTCTTTGGGAAGATGACTGAAAATAGCTGTGGAAAAATTCATCCCCTAAATCATGCAATTGTTTTTTTATTATGCTTTTAGTCATGACCAAAAAAGCATTTTAAGAAATCAGACCTGCTACGAAGTCAAATACAGTATTTGACTGTATTCATTGAAGTTGGGGTCGATAGTTATTTACATACTGGAAAAATGCTACAATAGTCTTCTATAAATATTAACATGCTAAAAACATAATTAATCACACAGAGATTGTAAGTACTGGAAAGCTCCATTTCAAACCCAAAAGGTAGCCTCAAGCTGGAGAAATATATTTTATTAGCACATTTACGCAAGACTTTAAGATCATAAATATTTCAAGGTATAAAAACCTATAGCTCATAGTCTGCAGAAGGCATGACAAGGACAGAAAGTTTCCATGACTTTTTTCACACATTGCCTCAGATCAGTGGCCAGCACAGGCTTGAAAGAATCACACAAAACCCCTGTTCCTTTGATCATATGTATTTAATTCCTCACAGTTTCAAATTGAAGCAGAAATAAAACACTGCCCCTGACACATTAATAAGTACCAGACTTAGGAGAAAGTATGTCAGATTTCAGCGTTTAAGTAATTTCTCTCTATGCATATATTAAATAAGAATGCAGGAAAAGTTGAACAATCTGTTTCTTTTAAAAAAGTTTGATAAGGAACTCTCTTCATTGATGGTGAAAGTATAAATTACTACACGTTGGAGAGCTATGGGGCAGTATCTACTAAAGTTGAAAAAGCACATTCCCTATGACTCAGAAATTATACAATTAGAATGTACAAGAATATGTTTCTGGTGATTTTTAAAAGGGAAAAGCGTAAAAGTCCATCGACAGGAGTATGCATGCGTAACTTATGATAAATCCATGCAAGAATTATCACACAACAGTTAAAAGCAATGACCTAGAGCATGTAGAGAATGGTAGTATTATATAAACGTTTAAAATGAGACTATATATTGGTTTCTGGATAAATACCTAAGTAGCAAAAGTATAAAAATATGCAGAGTATAAGTAAACACTAAATTCTGGTAGGTGGGGAAGGAGAAAAAGGCATGCGATTCCCAAGGGGTACATAGGAGGCCTCTTCTGTGTCTGTAAGTTTTTTTGTTTTGTTTTGTTTTTAAACAAGGGGTGGGTACCTGCATGCTTGAACCCTTTGTGAAATATTTTAAAACGAAAACAGTTGAATATTTTATCATACACCTCAATACACTTGGCCTATGAGTCTGTTTGCTTTTTTCACAATAATCAAACGAGTAATTCTACTCATTTCTAAAATGTTTATTCAGCTACGCCACCATAAGCATCTAGGGAGAAAACATACCGTTACTTTGTGCAAACTGTCAAAATACAAGTGAGTGCTTCACAGCCAGAGCTGAACAGAAAAGGCCACGGACAGTAAGGGAACAACTGCTGTGACCTGAATTTCAGCAACTCTTTGAACGGCCAGGTGACTGGTTGTCCAGCCCTCCCCTTGGCTGCATTTGGAAGACCGGGCTAAGTAAGCCGGGAGAACAAGGTAGAGGGTTGAGGCACACAAGAACCACAGGGACAAACACAGCACTGCCAACAGGTGTAAGGTATTATACGACCTAGGGTCTGGGGTTCTGACACACCTTTCCTGGTTCTGCACTTATAAGTAACTTCTCAATCCGCGAAAAGCAACAGAAACGTACATTAAGAAGGCTTGGGAGACTGGGTAAGTGTACCTGTGGGTTTTACGGTTTTCATTTGCAGGGGTGAGGGTAGCGAAGTGAAGATGGAGGCGGAGCCAGGGTTTCCACGACCTCACCCCGAATTCTGAGGCCAGACGTTGGAGTCCTAATAGGGGCGGGGACTCTGTCGGGGTCGTCCCAGCAGCAGGCAGGAGGTGCCCGAGGGACCACTCACCTGTCGGCGGTGCCGGGCGAGGGGCGGGGAAGCGGGCGTGGGCGGGAAGGGGTCGCAGCCCCACAAACTACAACCCGCTGGAGCGCGGACTAGCGGCCCCGCCCGACCCCGCCCCGCCCAGCCTCGCCCTTCTGTGACGTCAGCGCCCGAGGACCACTCAACGACCGCCGCTGCTGGCTCCCCGGAAGCCGATTGGCCGGTGGAGGGAGAGGCGGGCGGCGGGAGCCGGAGAGAGGAGGGAAACCCTGCGGGCAGGCGACCGTTGCCATGGACGCTCTCGCGCGTAGTAACCACAGCTCCGGGGGAGACAGAGAGGTGGAGAGGGTGAAGGGGTGAAGGGTCCCCCGCCTCCCCTGCGGCGCCTAAATCGGAGCTCTCTCAGCTGCGCAGACCTTGGTGGCCCATTCTAAGGCTCGGGAGGCTGACAAGCCCCCGCGTTTCAGCCTGGCTGGGAAGACAGGCTGACCTTACCCCACACCCTAACCTGGCCATACCCATTTGTGCTTCTCCCTGTGACATAGTGGATGCCATTCTTTTATTGAAGACACAGATAAATCAGTTGTGTCCATGTGGCTTTGGAGAATGGCAGCAGTTAACTAGAGATGGACAAGCCATTTTTTCTCCAAAGCCATGCGTACATAACTGACTTATCTGTGTCTTCAATAAAAGATTCTAACTCAGTTGTGATTTGATGACAGTTGCCCTTGTATGTATCCTGTCTAGGCATTGGGGGGTGACGGTGGAGAGGGTGTGTTAAAGGGCGGCTGGTGGGAAAATAAAGGAAGAGGAGGAAAAAAGTAAGAGAGGTGAGAGCAATATATGGGGATATGAGTGTGTTGGGCTGAGAAGGAATGTTTAGGAAAATGAAATGGAAAATATTGCCTTTACAGCCAACTGTCTCTAATCTCTCTGTGCCTTCTAAATTTTTTTAATCCCATAATTCCATTTTTATGGCTATTTATACAGGGAAATTGGAAATATTTCACGTTGTCAAAGTTGGGAGAGGCGATTACAAACATTTTCGGTCTAAATTTTAGAACAATGTAAGTTCTTGCAATGTATTCTTTATCGTTGTTCTTGGAAATTACTCAGAAACAGATTTGGGACATTTTATTCCAATTTGTACCATCAATATCAATGGTATTCTTTTCCTTGAGTGCTGTGTTGAGAATCAGTAGTTTTGGAAACTATAACCTGTAACTGGGTATGGGATCCAAATGGCCTTCATGCACAGAATATAACACTAATATTTACAGAAAAGTGCTTTGTGGAGTGTTTATTGGCAACTTAATTGAGTGTGTGATGTGTTCATTGAGAATTTTATCATTTACAACCACAGGAAGGTAGTATCCGTTGTCACTGTTATGTTTTGCTTATGTTACTAGGTTATTTATAGGGGTGTGAATCACCATCGGCTTTTTTCATTGAATGACTTTTTCATGACATGAAATTGCAGCGCACACCTCGTTGAGAGTATTCCCAGAGAGCCAAGGTACACAGACTCTATCAAGTTCAGATATCATATTCTAGCTCACTTATTTAGCAAGTGAGGAGCTGTGTCCTAGAGGCTAAATGACATGCCCAGGGTCGCATTTCTGTGTGTGTCCTTCGGATCAAGTAGAAAACAATGGACTCCCACAGCCTCTCTTTCCTTTTGTTTCCATCAGAGCCATTATGTCACCGTCATATGTTTTCACATATTGTCTCCCCCATTAGACTATGTCCCTGCGAGGGCAGAGACAATGATTTTCCAGCCTTAGTCACGGGAACCATTTTTGAAGCACTTGCTCTGTGCCAGCTTCATACACATCATTTATGACCCTCATCATAAGGTTGAAAATATGATTCCCCTTTTACAGAGGCTTACAGGTTAAGTAACTTGACCAAGGTCACATTAGCCAGGAGGTCATAGAGCTGGAGTCTACCCTAGGTCTGTCTGACCTCAAAGCCCATGGTCTTCCCCCTACATCAAATAGCTATATTCCTTCTCGTGTATTCTCCTTTCTATCCTCAGCACCAGCCATCAAGCTTGGCCTACGGTGTACTCCTAGTGCATGTTTGTTGAATGAATGAATGAGCGTTTGGAGAAGGAGGGACTAGCTTCCCTCCCTGGTACTTAATAGTGATGATTTGGGACAAATCCCCAAATCACGCCAGGTCTGTTGTATCTCTCCATAAAATGGGGCTAATGATGCTTCACTGGCCTGAAAGGAAGAGCATTAATCAGATAGATGCTCTATTGAAATCCTTCCCAGAAAATAGATTGAAATTCAGATGCTCACTTATTAATAGTTCTGGGAAAGCTAAGTGTATTTAGCCCACCTAAGGGGAATGGCAGCCACTTCTACAGGGACAGTTGGATGCTTCTCTTTCTCCCTGCGATAAATAAAACTCAAGGGAAAAGCAACCCAGACTGGAGCTATCAGGTGAGATGTGTTGTGGAGTATTAATCAGAAGCCACCCCAGCAGCTGAGATAGCTAGACAATTAATTGAGCTCCATGACCTAAAGTCTTATATGATGTGGGACACCTCTGAAATCTAATCTTAAAGTTCCATTAAGATTAGACCATTGAGAAGGTCCTGGTATTTATTGGCAGTCTAACGTCATCAATTATTCATCATCCACAATAAAGATGACTCATTTTAAGTGCTGCAGGGAGATCCTGACAATCTAAAGGAGGAGAGAAACAAAGACACAAACAGGACACTTTAAAGATGTTAAGAGTCATACAGTGGTGGGACTTCCCTGGTGGCTCAGTGGTTAAGCATCTGCCTGCCAATGCAGGGGACACGGGTTCAATCCCTGATCTGGGAAGATCCCACATGCCGCGGAGCAACTAAGCCCACAAGCCACAACTACTGAGCCCACGTGCCACAACTCCTGAAGCCCACACACCTACAGCCCGTGCTCCTCAACAAGAGAAGCCACCGCAATGAGAAGCCCGTGCACCGCAACGAAGAGTAGCCCCCGCTCACTGCAACTAGAGAAAGCCTGTGCGCAGCAATGAAGACCCAGCACAGCCAAAAATCCATTTTAAATAAATAAATGAATAAATTTATTATTTTTAAAGAGTCATACAATGGTATATGTTAGGTTGTGGATTATACTTCATGCTATGTATGAAAAAACAGGGCTATATCAAGGCTACTTAGAATTTTGACCTGGCATTTTAGGAGCTGAGGCCATTTTGTAATAGTCTCGCGAAGATTCTGCAGAGACTGCATTATTTTTTCAATGTGACTGATACAAGACTAACGGGTCTGAGTAGGCTGGTTTATATCAGCGATACCCCGTATTTCATCCAGATGAGTCTTTATCAGTTAAGAAAAATTAGCTTCTGAACTCAGCTACCACTGGGAGGTTGTTAAACTTTAGTCAAGGAGATAGAGCATGTCAAACAGAGTCAGACAGTCCATGTCTCGAATTTACTGGACCAAGATCCCTCATGCAAGCACTGAAGGTATTTTAGCTGTGGGCATGCAAGGCAATGAATTAGACAGGTAACTGGCAGTAGTTTGATTCATAGTGGCTCACAACAGCCCATTGTTAAATTTGCAGGAATTTTGCAAGCCCATTGTTAAAGAGTCCTTATTAAGAGCTAAATTATATCAATGTAGCATTAAATAAATTATATCGAAACAATGGTAATAAATACTCAAAACATCACTTTCTAATTCTTTTCCAACACTTATTGTTTTTCATCCTTTTGAGTTTATCTTCATCTGTTGCATCATTATGGTGGAAATACTACATAATGACGGTATCCCTTATCATTTTTAAGTTCAGCAATGTCACATTGGTAAATTGGGATTGACCGTGATGGGAGTATTTAAACCATGGAAATCATTAAAAGCTACAAATCAAGGCTTCATTTATTGTTTTCTTGATTGTCTAGACTCAAGAAAGTCATAGAGAAAATGCTATAATGCAGATGAAACTTTAAAAATGTCTTGTGTCTGTGGCCATTACATTGTGACAAGCAAAAAAAATTAAGAAGCTACATTCTCCCAGTATTGAAGACAAACATCTGATTCAGCAAAGAAGTGATTCATATCACTAAGTGAAATTTCAACATGCATCTTCAGTTTTGTCTACTCAACAACGTAAATGAAAATATCAACCAGCATTCAAGCTGAAACTCCTTTGTTCATCAGTTGCAAGGTTGGCTAGAGATACGAGTGTAGCAAAAATCAGTAAAAGCATTTGGCAAAAATCAATTGACTATTCACTTTGTTATAAAGCAGAAACTAACACACCATTGTAAAGCAATTATACTCCAATAAAGATGTTTAAAAAAAACAATTGACTATGTGGAATTTACAATACAGAGTATTGTGTATTTTTGTGACTATTTATAAGTTGTGTGCTATGTGTCCTTTATATCATTAAAATGTATAATAAACTTATGTATGTATGCATGCAGACATTTTTCCCAGAGAGCCAGCTGTTAAATGTTTACATCACTGGAAGTGGGCCCCTGTTTTTATCCTTAAAGAGATTATTCTCTGGCAGGACACAGGCAAAACCCCTGTGCTGCAGACTCCAGTGTGGTGAGAAGCATCAGAAAGGAACTCAAGTCTCCCAGGAGTTCTGAAGAGGGCAAAGCAGCGTCATCCAGGGACTCTTGAAAGATGAGTTCACAGGTTATATGGAAAATCGCCTAGCTCTTTAGACCGATGAGGGTTTGTGGAAATAAAAATGGAGTAGGATAGAGATAGATGTGCTGTATGTGTATAAGATATACATACAAGCTCATCTAAGCAGACCTGCTCTCTCAGGAAGCCAGACCTTGAGTCATCCAGAGAGTAGCTGAGTCATCATATTTGATGTTGCAAAACTCTGGTTGAGAATCACAGACTAGGCCTGCCAGGGAGCCACCAGATACCCTGTCATTGTGTAACGAGCAGGACCCTACGGCGCCTTCCCCAGGACAGGCTTTCCCGCCCCCCATATCCTCTGCTTTAGCTTCTCTCTGAACTACCTAGATAATAGTATTTGATGCAAATTTCCCGTGTTGTTTTGCAGATGTTGAAAACCCCCCACCAAATGGAAGATGTTAACT